GTAACAAACAAACAACAACAAAAAAGAAGAAGGGGAGATAAGTACGATAGATCTTTGATAGGAAAGAGGGAGCAAACCACACCAGAGCACCCGCCAACCACCCACTGAGAGGGAGAGGGAGGGGAGCAGGAGGAGGAAGATGGCGTGGAGGAGAGCAAGAGGAGCAGGAGGAAAAGGAGGAAGAGGAGGAGGAGGAAAACAAGAGCTAAAGAGAGGAGAAGAGATGTGTACGAGAATGAGAAGCAGAAGGCGGAGGGGGGAAAAGAAGGAGAAGCACGAGGACGACAATATGAGGCCAAGGAACAAACAAAACGATAATCATAGAAATGTGAACAAAAGCGTGAACAAATTTACGTATATTAAAACAAGGAAATCAACCTTGAGAGGAGCAGAAACAACAATAACTTCAACAAAAACAACATAGACACCTTAAACAGCAACACCAACAACAACACAAAAAGTGACCAAACAACACTATCAGAATCAACAACTTCAACAACAACACCTTAAGCACAGAAACAACAACAATAAAAGAAGCCTTGTGTCATCGGACACTATGGTTTTTATTAAATGTTGAACAATAATATGTCTCTCTTAGCATACTAGTTTCATCTTCTTACAATAAACTATGTAATATATCACAGACTGGTTCTGCTGAAATACACACAGAGCAAACTCTCAAACAAACAAACAAAAATACTAAAGAAATACAAACCTTTCAACATGTACACATGTGGCGACCTACGATGGCGTGTTTGTAGTACCTCTGTATGTTTGAGTATAATGCATTAACCCTATCCGTACGGCGTGTTTTATTATTGTATCCATACGACGTGGGGAACTCTGTGTCACCACTTTCCAAAGAGGAAATTTACTCGTTAATCAGATCCGTACGCTTTGCATAGCAATCTATCAAAATGCTTTTTTAAATAGAAATACTGACATTTTAAAAGAGATCTTTGTACTAGAAGTATTTTAAAACGTGAAGAATACAACCCCGGGGGTACAAAATGACCCCAGGGCGTACGGATAGGGGTTAAAGTGTTTATATGTCGGTAGTAAGGCATTCAGAGCATGCTGCAGAGCGTTGATAAATGTTCTATATAAAAGCAACTACCAATAAGTAGGCTATGTGTATAATATTTGACGCCTTTGTAAACCAAATTTCTCTTCGAGGATCAATAAAAATGGAACTTCATTTAGTTTATCTTACGATCGTACACAAAATGGTGGAACAGGCGATTTGTAGGAGACGTCGTGTTCATATATTTTTTCTTCTTTAAAAACAGTTTTGTTTTCTTAAAATGATTCTCATGTCTTTTGGGCTCATAGGTACGTTGTACCTTAGGCATGATCTAACAAGGACTCTGCTAGTGGCTAACATAAAAGTATTGTTTTAAAAACTCGTCAATTTTTACTGGTACGCGTTGGTCATATTCGCCCTGATAAGGTAGCGAGTTAAACATCTCTTGTGAAAAACAATTACAAAAATAACTATACACACACGCATGCAAACACACACTCGCAAACACACACACACGCTCGCGCATACACATACACACACACGCGCACACGCGCAAACACACACACACATACACACACTCTAATACCTCATAATAATTAATACGTCAAAATACAAACACGCACATGCAAACATACACAGAATCACGTTCACCAGAATACATACATACACAAACATACACTCACGCGCACACACACGTACACACACAAATACACACACACAAATACACACACACAAACAAACACGCATAAACACTAAATAACACAAAGACAAACATATCCTTAATCATACACACACATCGTAAATACATAATCACAAGTTTCTCCTTAAACAAAAATCTCAACAAAAACCAAGTGTTTCGTCCAGGTTGTAGTTCACAAAGTCCCTAGTCTGCTGCAGTCACCACCTCAGGCGAATCACCAATTTCCATTATAAAAGTGATACAAGCACACACACACTACAATGTGGTGAATACCAAATCGGGCCTGTCTACAGCCGAGCATTCAATGTTATCAGATCAAACCATTTCAGCATACATGAAACTACACTCAAACATACTCATTAAAACAACGAAAAAAAACCCAGAAAACAAAAAAGCAAAACCAACCACCACCCCCCCCCAAAAAAAAACCAACAACAACAAAAACAAACAAAACAAAAAAAACCCCCAAAAAACGGAACAACAAAAACACACAGACACCTGAAAACCCCCAAACACTAAACTGCAGTCAAACGAAACCAAACGCAGCATCGATTAGATTCTGATGTAGAGCGGGTTTTTATTTCGGCGTCGTCACGCGCAGATACTTTTCAAAATGAAAACCGAAATCAATAATGAATTTTGTTTCGTTTCGATATTATGCTTCCGGTTTTTGAAATACATGTAGTTTGTGAGTCTGTACTTTCTGAGTAAATTGTTAATGAAAGTTCTGTTGAGGTGCTGCGTAATCAACCTAGCAGACAGAACAGAGCACTATTATAACACTGTGTGTCTTTTTTGTTTTAGTTTTAGTAGAGGTTTTACGGCGCTCGCAACTGCATAACGTCCTATGGGATTTACAAACCGGCTACATGCAGAAAGGCAAATTTTACAGGAGAGACAAAAAACAACAACGATTAGTGTTAAAACGCGTAACATAATCTAAGGTCATACGAGCGCCAGAAGATTAGAGGTGTTACAAGAGAGTAATAAACATAAAAAAGAGGAAAGGGAGATAAAGACGATAGATGTTGGACAGGAAAGAAGGAGCAAACCACACCAGAGCACCTGCCAACCACCCACGCTGTATGTCAGAATCAAAACGTGCTGATAACTAAATTTATCACCAGCGTATGAGATGTAGCGGTTAGGCGCCTCGCTGTAGCGCATAGGAGACCCAAGTTCGATTCCCAAGTGGAGACAAACTTTTGTCGGTCTTTCTACTGGAACGTTGTATCCCTTTCAACTCGGTTTGGCTGATAATTCTATGAGGATCAACGGAATGATTTTTTTAATGTGCTTATGTGGGTGTAAAATATTTACAAAGATAATGAACTTCTTTTTGTTGTTCTTGTTCTTGTTCTTGTTCTTGTTCTTGTTCTTGTTCTTGTTCTTCTTCTAAATGGACATCCCAGTCTCTTGTGCAAAAGCTGTTGTTCATCTCAGGTCCTCCAGGCTCCTCTTGAGTTTTGAATCAGCCTACCTATGGTTGGGCCAAGGTTTCCTTCTCATTAGTGTCTCGAGCATTGGGCAGGCTTGTAGTAGATTGCTTAATCATAATTATTGGCGGATAGAAAAAGTCAGCTCTTTCAGAATAACTGCACTGTTTATAATGTTTCGTATGGTCAACAATGTAATCTTTGTTACTATTAATACATTAAAGAGAATGTTGGCTTAGTTAAATTATACGCAATTGTACGCACGTCATTTGAGCCACCTCCCCCCCCCCTTCCATAGTAGCAAATAAAACATCATTTCCCTAAACCATCCCTCTGCGGTGGGAACCCTTCAGTAGTTAAAAAAAAGTTTCCAAGGCTGACAACATTTCAGACAGACACTACTCGGATTGGAACCTCAGATATTCACTTTTTGGTCAAGTTGGTAAGAGAAAACTTCACGGAGGTCGATTTCCAATTGAGGTTTGCCCTATTACAGTCACAAAAATAAAAGCATAATAAGCAATAGCACGATTTATTAATATAGCGTGTTTCTTCTTCTTGAGTGTATTAGAATAGTACCTATTGATGCAAAGGTCTACCGACCTAATGTACAGACAAGAGACAAGTGACATTTACACAAATAATAGGCCACGTACTCACAAAAACACACACAAATACACACTTATAAAAATAGAAACACACACACACACGCGCGCGCACACACACCCACACACACACACATGACCACGCGTAAACATGGAAACATAAACATGCAAAGATACACACAAACACTCACACGCACCCTCTCACACACACACATACACACACATACACACATATATAATATACATACGTATGTATGTACATATTATATA